TAAAGTAAAAAAAATAAGAAGAAATAATTAAATAAAAAAATAAAAAGTGATAAAAGTTTAAAAAAAAGAAAGAAACAGTAAAAAAAATGTAAACTAACCCCGCCGCCATTCTCCATTGATAGGGAGGGGGTTGGCGGGGGGCGTATTGCGGAACCTGGCCTTGGGGCGGCAGGGAGAATAAATCCGGCCCTGTCTCTGTGTGTGTGTTGTGAAGTAGCCGCTGCTCCAAGCTCACTCCTGTGATGGACTACAATCTCATGTTTAGTTTACTAAATAATACTGATATTATAGTACATCACGGAAGTGAGCTTGGAGCAGCGGCTACTTCCAAACAAAGTGACCATGAGGAACAAAAGTAGTCACCCTACAGAAGGAAGGACAGTGTCAGCACCAATTCAGAGATATTTGAGGCCCTGCATTTGGATATACTGCCAAGATCGACCCAGCTGCATGAGTGACAGCGGGCTCTGCCTATCTAGAGGCAGAGCCAGCTGTGGTCGCCCCCTGCCCCATTCATTCCTCCACTCAGCACTGGAGGATCAGAGAGAGGAGGGGGAAATCCCTGCGGGGAGCGGTGACTGACAGTCACCGCTGACTGACAGTCACCGCTCACTGCAGGGAGATGATTGAGAAGTGAGCGGATCGGCTGCATGTTTCTGCTCACTTCCCAATCTATAGAGCCAAACTGCGACAGCTTCTTTGTCACAGGTCGGCTCTAACTATGAGGACGAGTGGAGAAACCCTCAACTCATAATTCTCCCTTAAGTGCTCATTTTTGCCTAGGGTCAAAAAGTTATGCCCACCCGATCCTCCAAGCTGGCCTGCTCTTATACCAGTTCCTAGAGCCTCTCTTCTCCTCCTCTGCAGTGGTCTAAGGTCCCTGAGTTATCATGTTCTATACCTTGAGTATAGGATGCGAGGATGTTGAGAGACATACCATCCGTGCAACAGTGGAAGAGATGAGCTAGAGGGAGCGCCGTCATAGCCATCCGGTTTGGGTGAGTATAAGTTTGTTATTAATCAAGCATTTAACCATTGCAGGGGGGCTACCCCCACACTACAAGGGTTTATCAAAATTTTAACTGGCGTTATTTTAAAGCAAAGTGCATTTTATACCCTCCTCTCCCTTCGTTGGCTGCATGCTTGTTCCAGGCTATGAACATACTGATTATAGAAGCCAAAACCAGCCAAGCAACTAGCATTTTGTAAAGCATATCAGCATATAAGGCACGCATTGCTTTCAGCACATGTTTTCTGTAGTGAAGCTTCTTGCGGCCACTCCTAGCACAGTGTACTGGGTGACTGTGTAACTAAACAATCCTCATAACCCAGTCATTATCAGGACGAGCACAAACAATATCGCTCTATACAGCCACGCACACGGCAACACCCTGCCCTCCGCCACATGACGGCACTTCCTATCGGAGATTACGCCCACTTTTAGAAGCCGTCCAATCGCAGAGCTCTTTTTCCTTTTCCTTGCGTCCCACCCGTGTCACGTGCTCAGCAGCGGGCGAAATTCAAAAATTTGAACCGTTTGTGTGCGCTGGTTGGAGGCTGAGCCTGCGGGTGACAGATACACACCCGGAACCCTAGAGTCCGCACACACCGCTTCCGTCCTCATATACTGCTGAGAGCGTGCTGCTGCAGACATGGATCCCTTCACAGAGGTGAGCACTGATTACATTCATGCTTATAGATCAGCACCGATCACATGTCACAGAGTAACACAATAACATGTCCTGTAGTGGGATCCCTGTATTCATTGTCATCTGGTCACTTCGTTTTCACACAGTGTACATGTCAGTGTTTCCTGTATTACATACTAATAGATCTTTAGATTACATCCTAATGCTGTATTAAACTCCCCACACACATTACAATCGGTGCAATCTCCTTTTGATCTACCAACAAGTATGTAGTGCAAGGGCTTGCCTGATTGGATAGACTAGACAGAGTCTCATACTACATAGGTTTGGTATATCTAAAGTTGATGGTACAGAGATTGTAGGTATGGTCAGATTGTAACGAGTATGGTGGCCATTAGGCATCATTCACACAAGGATCTAGAGTCAGGCTGCAGCTTCCTGTAGCAAGAATTGCAGGTCATTCCAGAGAGCTGCGACCATTTAGCTTGTACAAAGCAATGAAAGCAGTAGCTATTCGCCGCAATTGCGCACGGAGTAATAAAATCTGGTTGAAGATGGATGATCGCCCTTGGATGTAAACTGCTTGCATCCGGGGGTGATCATCTGACTCCAAGCAGAGTTGCTCCTTGCATAATATTTTTATATTGCATAAGAATATTTGTTATCATGTACTAATCTATTTTTATATCGCATACTGTAAAGATCACTACACGGTGTACAATCTGTACATTATCCTTTAGATCTACCAAAAAGTATGTAGTGAAAGTGCCTGTCTGATTGGATAGATTAGAAAGGTCCTCATATTCCATAGTTTTAATTTCAAATTTGATTTGTATGGTCAGAGTGTAATGTGTATGGTGATCCTCAGAGTAGTTCTAATAAAGTGCCGCCTCTTTGTCAACAAAGCACAGTGCTGAATATATATGGTCTGTTTTTGTCTATTGATTGGTAATTTTTCTTCTGCGGCAGATGGTTGAGTTTCACTGCCATTGTATTAAAACTGAGCTCTGGGGGGAAATGTAAAACCTCCCCCTGCAATAGGGCTGTCCCTGCACAATAAGGGCTAAATGCTGGTTTTTGCCTAGGGTACCATTACACATCATGTTTAGTTATCCATCCGGTCCACTCCGAAACCCCCTTCTCTTCGGTGCTCTGTCCAGTGGTCTCTGCTTTGTAAGTGAGGAGGTCGAGGGACCACCTAGCTCATCAGAGAGAAGAGCGCTGGGTGAGGGATAAGGTCAGCAAATATGCCTTTTAATGGTACCCTAAGAGCATTTAACTCTTGCTGTGTAGGGGAGCCCCCCCACTGCAGGGGTCATTTTCAGAATTCAGCTGGCCATACACTGTTACAATTTCTGCCAATTCCTGTGAACTCTAAGTCCCCATTCGCACTGAGCGACAAGGAAAATCACGCGATTGTCATACGCGTGACATTGCGCGTTTTGTCGCGATACGTCGCACGACTTTTTGTATTGGGCTGCAAGCAATCAGGAGCAAAATCGCATGACATCCGCGCAAAAAAAGGGTCATGTACCAGCTATAGCGACGAGCTACAGGTGACATTGAGCTTTAAGATGTGAACAGCTCCATTTGAAATGCATTGGACTATCTACATAGCGATATCGCGCGGAAATATGCGCGATAAACCGCTCAATGTGAACGGGGACTAAGCCTGGGTGGCCCTGCCAACAACATCTGGCTGAACAAACTTGAACTTCAAAATCGAAGGAGTCGGG